TTTTTATTGAATTTTTGTGGATTTCATTCAATAATTCTTAATCATATTTAGTCCCCGCTTCCTTATGTGCAACCCTCCTCATAGCCTGCCCCCAGGACTTCATGACTTTTGTCATACATGTTAAGGCCTATCAAGTCAAGTTTAGATACCCAGGCATCACTTGGTATGAGTTCATCCACTGGAACCTGTTTAGCCTATCTAGTATCACTCCCTTAAAAAATATCAACTCTTCCTCAACCTCAGTGACCATTAGTTCTTCAGTGAAGATTGGGGCTTCCTGCCCATTTCCCAACTCTATGCTGGGTTTATATCTGATTGAGTTTGCATGAGTCTTGTACATGCTGTCATCACTGCTCTAAATTCATATGAGCAAGTTATTTCCTTAAGATCATGCACCTCCTGCCCTGGTTCTTTCTGCCTCCTCTTCTGCAATGGTCCCTGAGCCCAGGGTGGGTGCCGTTTAATATCAGAGTCCTGATGTATCTCCCAACTTTCAACAGGGAAGCTCTTCATGCAACAATGGTCTTTTTTTTTTTACAGCTGAACAATATGTGTATATGTGCCACATTTTCATTATCCATGCATTGATTGAAAGACATCTAGGCCCTTTCTTTTAAGTTGCTCTTCTAACTAGAGCAGCAATGAACATGGAATGAGCAAGTACTTCTGCAGTATGATGTAGAGTCCTTTGGGAATATGGCCACAAGTGCTATAGTTGGATCATTTGGTAGATATATTTCCAGCTTTGTGAGGAAAGCTTTGTCTTAGCCATTCTGATGAAGGGAAAATTAAATTTCAACATAGTTTTAATTTGCATCTCCCTGGTGGCTAAGAATGCCCAACATTTAAAAAAATATTTCTCAGCTATTTGTATTTCTTCTTTTGAGAACTCTCTGACCCTCTGATTACATTTCTAAACTCCTGGCACAGACTGGTAAGGGGTCCTGGACTCTGAAGGCCTTCTCACATCTCTGTATTTCCACCAGCCCCTGGTGCTGACAGCTTAGCAGCCAGACCATCAGCCCCAGGCCCACACTCCCATTCAAGCAACTAACTCCAAATGTGCAAACATAAGCTCAAAAGCAGAAATAGCATGAGATTCCAGGACATGTTTTCTCAAATAAATTACTAATCCAATAATAATGGACCACATGAGAAGGACCTTGAAAATTTTCCAGGAAAAGAATACAAAATAACTGCACTTAAACAACTCAAGGAAGACATGAGACCATAAACAAAGAGATAAATGAAATAAGGAAGACAAATAATATATGAAAATATAATTCAATACACAGAATTATTGAAGAAAAGACTAAATGAAATGATACTGGAAATGAAAAACTAAATAAATCAAATAAAAATTCAGTGGAAAGCCTAACCAACAGAATGGATCATGTGGAAATGGAGACAAATGGCCTGGAGGACAAAGTAGAACTGGATCACTTAGTAAAAGTCATGGGAAATTAAGATAGATACATCAAATGAACATGGGAAAGCTTTGGGGTGCAATGAAAAGACCTAACCTTCATATTATGGGCAAAGAGAAGGAGAAGAATATCAGCAGAAACACAGAATAGATTCAATAAAATCATAAAGAAAATTTTCCACGCCTAGAGAAAGAGATGCCCACCAGGTACAAGAAGCCCACAGAATTCCAAAAGTAAAACCAGAAAAGAAACACTCCACAACATACTATAGTTTGAATGTTTAAATGTACAATAAAGAAAGGGTACTGAAAGCTTTTAAGGAGAAAGTTCAAGTCATTTATAAAGACAGGCTCATCAGAATAACACCTGATTATTCAACAGAAACTTTCAAAGGCAGAGAAGCCTGGAAAAATAAGTTAAAAGTTCTCAATGACCAAGCTGTTAACCTAAGCTATTGTACCCAGTAAAACTACTGAAACTGAAGAAGAACTAAAAATCTTCCATGGTAAGTTACTATATTTTTTTACCAACTAAAGGGCCATTTTCTAACTTCATTCCTATATTAGTCACAGTCCATAAATGTAACGTCTTCACTTTTTGTTAAATTACTAAACAAGTATTTCTTTTGCAATGTAGAACCTGTATAGTAGCTCATCAATGCAAAACATTACATTTTTTTAAATCAAGAAGTTTTGAATTGTCACTCATCCCTGACTCTGGAAAGTATGCCATGTTATAAATGGTCTTAGTTTTCCTCCATAATATTATTAGACATAGGAAGACACATATTCATGTTTCCTAACCTCCAGCAGACTCATTCTACACAGACACAGACATACACACAGACACAGACACACACACACACACACACACACACACACATTCACATACAGACCACTCACATACACCCACTGACACATACATAAACACTCATCCACACATTCTCACATACACACACAGTCACACATTTATATGCACATTAACCCACATTTACACACTCACACGCAAGCTTTCTTTAATTTTGTGATTCCTGGCCCTCTACTTCATCAGCATTGTTGTTTTCTCATATCACCAAAGTTAAAATTCTCAAAATTTTCCTTGACTAAGAGCATCTCAACATTTCAGGATCTAAAGGAATGTTAAATGTGATTCCCATTTCCTAGAAAAAGAAACATCTTATTTGTATCTACTGAATGAAATCCTTCCTGTTTCAGAATCCCTTCAGTAAGGAACAAAATGACATAATAAGCTATTCAAGGAACTATAATTGTTAGAATTCTGTTCCACTGTCTGTAATATTAACATCAGAATCACACAGAACACAGAACTCAGATCTGATTTATAAAGCATCCTATTCTTTAGAGAAAGTCTGTCACTATCAGTTGACCAAAGTCTGGCAGAGTCCTAGCCTCACTGCAGGGCTGACTGACTGTCACACTATCCCCGGAAGTTAGCCCTTTTGTGAAGTCTCTGAACTCCAAGGACTGCCGCGAGCCAAACATTGCAGTGACCCATTCACAGGCTGACAGTGGCACAATTATTACTGCTGGTTGAAATTTGATTGCTATAAAATTCAAATGCCTTTTTCTAATATAGGGTTTAAATAAGATTTCTGGATTGTCGAGTAAGAAAAGGACACTATTGCGACAACTAAAAAAAAAAAAAAAAAACAGTATATTTTCTATTTCAGAAAGTGAGCTTGGAAGCTAGACCAGGCTTTTTCCAATATATTTTTATTGAATTTTTGTGGATTTAATATAATAATTCTTAATCATATTTAGCACTTCCCCTCCTTATCCTCACCCCACCATAGCCTACCCACAGAACTTCATGCATATCTTGTTATATATATTAAAGCCTATGGAGTCAAGTTTGTGTACCCAGATGTTCCTCTGTGTGAGTTCCTCCACCTGAGCCTGTTCAGCCCCTCTAGTGTCATTCCCTTAAAAAAGATCAACGCTCCATCACCCAGCAGTGACCATCTGCCAATAGTTCCTCACCAAAGTTGTGGCTTTCCTGCCCATTTCCACAGCTCTATGCTAGTTTTTGTCTGATACAGTTTGCACGGATCTTGCACATGCTGTCACCATTGCTATATATTTATATGAGTAAGGTTCCAGGAGCCTGTAAGAATCTGTTTCCTTATGGTCATGCATCTCCTTCCTCAACCAGGATTTTTATCCCATTGGAAGATCTATCTCAATTCCAAGAGAACTGCATTAAAGAATCTTACTATTTTCCTACTAAAAATGCAACTCCGTCTGATAATACAAAATGTCATGAACTCTTTCCCCTTTTTACTTGTTATTAAAATTCCTAGCCTTCCTTTGCTACTGGCATCTTTTTATTATCAATACAAATTGTCAGAACCTCAAAATATGTCTTTAAAACTGGGTATGGTGGTACAGGTCTTTAATTCCTACACTCAGGAAACAAAGGAAGGTGGCTCTCTGTCAGATCAAGCCCAGCCTGGTCTACATGACAAGTTTCAAGCCAACCGGACCTACAGGAAGACCCTGTCTCAGAAAACAAAAATAAAACAAAACAGAAAGCCCCTGATTTACCTGATGCATCAGATTTTACTCTTTCCCATTAAGCTGTTGCATCTACTCTGTTTCATGTATATATCTATATTTATCATTATTTTACCTGCATTCCTATCTTCTCTATTATAACCCAAATATTACTTACTGAGAGCAGGTAACTTTTCTGCAATATTTTTACTGTGCCTACGATGTGGCTTATTCAAAAATATTTGCTGCTTAAATGAATCAGATCACTTGACTTTATAAACCTCAACATAAGCACACAAATATATTTGCATTTCTGTCCAATACACATTATGTAACAATATGTTTTTCCTTGTAAATTTACCTTTTCTTAGGCTTTAATGCCCAAGTCCAGCTCTACTCCCTCAGTAATCCTGGAAACAATCTCTCCCAGCTCATTCTTCCTTTAAGCTCTTGGGCTACATCTGTTCTCCCTGGGATGGGACATTTTGCATAACCTCATCCCTCTTCTCGTTTCCTCTCCATCATTTCAAATACAGCTCCATTTCAAAAGCACAATGCTGAAACATTCCATGTTTTAAGCTTAGATGTGTGATGGCATTGAGATGTGCACGAAAGTATGTACAGAATGTATGAGTGTTGGTGCTAAATAAGGAGATTCATATGTATTAAATAAAGGTAGTTCCTAAAGTCCATCCAGTACACAGCTAGCCCAGTTATCAAGACAGACAAAAACAGCAAGTACACAAAGATTCGTTAGAAGCAAATACCCATTTTATTGAAAATAAATTACTTCCCAACTGTAGATGCTAAAGTGACCAATGAAATCAGACCTAGAGAATTAGAAAGTAAGGGAGCAAAGGCCAACATTCTAGAACTAGTGAGATGATACCAGAGACCCTGGAATCACAAAGATATCATTCTAGAAAATGTAGAGTTGGAGGTCAAAGACTATCAAGCATGTCATATCTTGAATATAGAAATCTTGTGATATGAATCTTCAAAGAAGCGTTATCTTCAGAAGCATCATTTTAAAAGCAACTGGTCCTTTGATAATGGTGTTTTAGCAGCAAGAATAACATCTTCTGTAGCAAAAAGGCTTGTAACCACAGCAGTCAGAGCCATAGAAGGAGCCGTATCCATAGCCACAGCCACGTCCATAGCCACAGCCATAAGGGGAACCATAGCTGTTGCCGTATCCACAGCCAAAGCCAGAGCCGTATCCACAGCCATAGTGAGAGCCATAACCACAGCCAGAGCCAGAGCCAAAGCCACAGCCATAGCCAGAGCCATAACCACAGCCATAGCCAGAGCCATATCCACAGCCATAGCCAGAGCCATAACCACAGCCATAGCCAGAGCCATAGCCGGAGCCATAGCCACAGCCATAGCCGGAGCCATAGCCAGAGCCATGGCCACAGGAACTGCCGTAGTTGCAACACATGTTGTCAGGAGGAGAGAATTCACTTGGGTTGCAAGAGAATGTTTCTGAAGTGTTGATGTCTTCTACTCTGCTGGGACCTTTATATACTGTCAGTAATTGCCACAGCATACCATTCATTCCCTGACTTAACCAACAGATATTTAAACAACTATTTAATGGTAGTCGCTTGTTGACAATAATGGTTTGCTTAAGATGAGTACAGTGCTTTAGAAACTCACATTTTGTTTAAAGAGAGTCATTTTAATTTGTTCTACTAAAGAGTTTTCTCTGTCAAATCATATTCCCAAGCATAAAACTCATTTGTAAAACTTACCAACCAAAATGTGGCTTTTATAGCAAGGCTGCTTTAGGAGACTATAAGAAAAATGTATCCCCCCCTTCCTCTTCCTCCTCTCTCTCTCTCTCTCTCTCTCTCTCTCTCTCTCTCTTTCTCTCTCTCTCATAGGAAATTTTCTTGTCTCCTTTCCTGATCCATTGTAGTCTCTTGTCGTCTCCTACTTATCTTGCCCTTTTATAACTCTCTGTTGTCCAGTGTCTCTAGGGATCACAAGAACTAGAACCATATCTGATAATAACATACAGATGCGTAAAGCCTGGGCTATCTGTATGTGAGTTCTACACCTCCTCTCCATGCACCAGGCAAACTAAGGCCCGAAGAACCTGAACAACCTTTCTCTTGTCTCCTGCTTTCTGCAACAGAGTGGTAATTTCTACATAGGTGTATTTTTAAGCATAACTAACTTTATTTGGATGAGAAAGCAAAAATCAAAATCTCACTGAGATGAGAAACTGTAAAAAAAAAGAATTTTTTTCAGAGTTTTGTGGACAAGGTATATGTGAGGTTTCTGCTTCTTCCCTCACAAATGGTCCTTGTACTTTTAATTTAGAAGTTAAGACAATGTGTGATTTTAGGCTTCTCAGAGCAACGATGCCCACTCAGCTTCTAACACTTCCACGGACATATAATGGCACAAAATTGTCTTTCACTTCATTCACTCATCGTCGCCTAAATTATTCATTCTATCAGATTCTCAAATTTCCACCAAAAAAAAAATTGGTGTGATTTTTGATATGCCGCACTGTCTCAAACTCCAGTAATCACATTACACAGACCTTTTCACCATCTGAGAGAGGAAAACAAGTACCATTTCTTCAAATATTAATACTTTTCTTCACACTCTCATGCCACAGCTAAGGAATATTCCCATTTAAACACCAAAACTCAGCTCTTGAATCACATCCGATGAGAAAACTTTTGTAGCTTCTACTGTCTGGATTCCACAACGCTGCCCTTTGCTCTTACATGCATGTGTACAAAAACCATATACTTGTCAAGCTTTGCTGAAATTTTGCCTCAGTCATAAATTAAAATATGATATTCTTGAGGAAAAAGGCTATGCTTTCTATATTAGAACATCTGGCCAGTTCTGGAGTTTAAGGCACATTTTACATAAGAGGAGCTCAAGGTGAATGTGGAGCCAAGTCAAAGACTGTCTGCAAGCCGAAGGCTTGATTATACCAATTTCTACTGAGGCCACACTGAAGAAATGAAAATTCCACTGAAGTTTAAAACATGGTCATCTGATAATCCTTGCATTGATTTAGATAAATTATCTCAGTGGAAAATGATCACAGAGATGCCTGCTCCAACTTCTTCATATTTTAGAAAGAATAGAGAACTTAACAGCTCAACAGAAGTTGGGTGCTGTAGGACTTAGCAGCCTGTTTTGCCCTGATTTTCTCTGCTGCCCTTCATTCTTATACAGAGCACAAATCTACCAAAAAAATTCTTTAATAACAAGATAGTGCTGGAGTTACACATGGACAAATCCCTATACCTTGGCTATCTTTTGCACTTATATTTGCCTCGTCACATCCAAATGACTTGAACTTCAACTTTGTGAATTTCCATATAAGAGAATGTTTGTAAACTCCAAAGATGGCTGATCCTTGAAGCAAGCTTAGGAAAAACGACCACACCTTTCCTATAAGATGTGGAGGGATACAGAAATGATACTGAGGGCCCCCAGTGTCTTGGTCATCGAAGTAGTAATCAATACTACTACCCAACATTCCGTGTTCCTATATTTCTAAAATCTGTCCCTGGAGTTCTAACACACATTTAATCTAAAGGACAAGACCACAAACCCTTTGACCTGAATCCTGTGTTCTGACTATAATATACAATTTTCACTAAACATGCGGCAAAGTATACATATTTTTTTTCTTCACTGAATTTTCATCTCCACACATAGTAGGAAAATATAATATATGCTGGCACATTCTGCTTTGGTTTCTAGGCAGCTCTTGAACAGCTTAGGTGAATCCCACAGATACTCGCTCAGCTTATGATAGAGGAGATATGCTATCGAGGGATCTGGAAGTTTGCAAAGATAGTTGTGTTTGGGCTCAGGATCAAATATCTGCACAAATAAGTTGATCCCCCCCCCAAAAAAAGAGAGCTGTGCTCTCTGGGACACTGTCTTTGTGTTGTCTCTGATTTAGGGCTTATTGTTTCCAATACTACAAAAACTGCAACAATGGCCCTATTGTCACATCTGGGTCAGTGACTCTCAGTCATGAATAAATTTGCCTGTTGGAGACATTGGAAATTGCTGGATAAAGTTGCAAGTGTTTCAACCTGGAGTGAGAGTGATCTTCCTGAGCATCTAGTGGTAGAAACCAGAAGTGTCCCTAATCCTACAAGGCACAGAACAAAGAAGCATCTGGTCTAAAATGTGAATACTCTGAGTTCTCAAATGTCAAAACTCTAATTTATCACCATATATTTATAAATAAATATCTATGACCATGTCTAATACAAATACACTTTTTCTTATGCCATACCCAATATCCTTTCTATTTCCAAACATGCAGTATAAAAATGTTTTGATGAACTAAAATTAAAAAGAAGATTTGCTTCTTTATTTTCACTTACTTTGCTTGCCCTAATTTTATTTATCATTTTCAGAATCATACAAACTCCAAACTTTTAGTTATTTTTTTTACTATAATAGCCATGAAATCCAAGACAATATAAACTCAGGAAATCATTTCTTCTGTCAGAAACTAGGATTTAGACAGCAAAAGAATAAATGGGGATCCACTACGTTATTGACCATCTTCAGCAGGATTTTCACAAAGCTGTCAATTTCATTTTGTGATAACTTTCAATATAGGTCAGTATTTTTCCTTCTATTGAGAAATCTTCCTACTTTTTTCTCCCAATATCCACTACAATTCATCTTTAACAATAAACATCAAGAAAACAAACCCTTCTTACACATTTCCTTTTTCCTCAGATTCTGTCCTCTTTATCAATCTTGAAATTCATAACTGTAAACTCTGCTGGGCCTAAGGGTGCACGCCTTTAATCCCAGCACTCGGGAGGCAGAGCAGGCATACCTCTGTGAGATTGAGGCCAGCCTGGTCTACATAGCAGGAACTACAGAAAAAAAAAATTAAAAACTACAAATTCTATTTCACAAATTCCCTGGAATAGATGCTTTACTTTCCAGTACCACTGCCGACACCCACTTCTAGCACACAACACCATCACATTATCTCAAGCTCTTCCATCCATATTTTATTACTTCCAGTATCTTTCCATTAAGATCTCTGGATGCTGGATATAAAACAAAAACCTATTATGCACAACCTTGAATAATCAGCTCTGAATGCATGCTTAACACATAATTTGTACTTATTCAATTATTTCTCCAATAAAAATAGAACATCAGCATAAAACACGTCTCAATGTTGGAATGCCACTTATGAATAACCTATACATTAAAAATAAATGGTAAAATTAAATCAAGCTAAGCACGACATTGCAACATATACTTAAGTTCTCTGAAGACTAGTTTCTTCTTTCTAAAATGGAGTCTAAGCATATTTACTTAGACTTTTCATAAGCTTCATGCCTATTCAATGTTTGTGTTAGAAATTGCACAGAATGTTATTCTCTGGTTCTAGTTTGTATCACAGTATAGTTTTAAATTCTCACCTATAATAGATTTTTGAATATACATATTTATCTCTACTAAAATGATGATTTAGTCATAATTTAATGCAATAGCTTTGTAGTTTAAAGTAGCCTACTCTAGGACATACATGTAAACTCTAATTAAAAACTTTTGTGATGAAGTAGCAAAACCTTTCAGAAAATAAACTACCTTCTTCATGGCCTTTGTGCACTCTGACTGAGTCATTTTGTTTGGTAATTTTTCAGTAAAAATACAGCATCAAGTATATGCTATTGGGGATTGTGTCATGTGCATTTTCACATTTAGCAGTTACAGACTGACTGTGATATATATCTACAGCATTTTACTTGACAACATGTTTAGGCTTCTGCCGTGGAAAAATGCTATGAGATGTTTTGGGGAACTTCCGGAGGAATCCAAAGATCAGGATCGTAAAATATTTTATTGTTAGGGATATGACTATTTATAGTTCTTCAAAACATTTTATTGTTAGGATATGAATGTCTATAGTATTTTATAGTTATTTCAAGTACCATCACAAAGTAAGAGATTTTAGTCAAGGTCAGAGATACATTAAATAACAAATCTTCAATATCCATGTGAAATATATTCTAGAGGCTCCCATAATCTGGGTTGTTCAAAAGTCCCCAACTCCTTATCACAAACTGAATTTTAAAATTCTGATCCAAAAACCTTCTACACTTTTGCTAAACAATGTAAAATTAGTCTCTAAGAAGTTCATCTATATTCTTCTTTGCAAAGTGTCTTTATACACATTATCTCAATGTATTCTCATAATCTGGTGCCATGAATAGGCAGCTACTTAAAGAACTCACATTCAAAAAAAATTGATCAAGACACAGAGCTGATAGTTAGTTCTCCTGAAAAATCTTCCTGCTCATTACAAAGTGAGTAATTGAATAGGAAAATCTTAGAAACATTCAAAAAAAATTGATCAAGACACAGAGCTGATAGTTAGTTCTCCTGACAAATCTTCCTGCTCATTACAAAGTG